TTGTCAGCTTTGGTATGATGGTATGGTATGGTATGAGATCATTTGGTATGGTATGAGATGACATGGTATGGTATGGTAACATGGTATTGGTATGAGTGGGATATGGTATGGGTTTTCCATTCCATGGTACCATGGTATTGGTATTGAGCTCATATACCACCCCGGAATGGGTACCCTCAAGGTACCCTAAATCAAGGAATTGATGTACCTCATAGGTACCCTAAAATGGGTGACTGAAGTGATGTGAACGATGGTGGGGGAAGAGAAGCAAGAGAGGAATAGGGTTGAGGGTTGTTGACAACGCCCAATCGAGTCTCAGCAAACACCGACACTTGATTTGTGTGGGCATTGTCAGTGTTCCATCAACAGATTCCGTTCCGGATGCATTCCGGACATCATTCTGTCCGTCTGATTCCAGGAACCATATCAGCGGAATTGGAATTCCGTTCTAGATTCCCCGGAATCACTTAATAAATTTGGCAGGCCCCTGTGCCAAATTTGATTCCTCTGGAATTCCGGGAATTGCCCGGATTCCGCCGGATTCTGGCAGGAATCAGTGGAGGACAATAAAGACCTCGCTCCAGTAGCCAATGTGAAACATTTGAGATTGTTCCAGCAAGACTTGTGTAGATGACATTAATGTTGTGCTGCTGCCAAAGGCAGCATGTCATTGGTAGTTGATTGGTAGTAGACAGTAGGTCTAATACATGAGCTGTAAATGTTGACCACTTTTCCAATGTTATCTACAATTTGCCTACAAATGTTTGAAGTGGTCCATGGAAGAGTAAGAGCAGGGAATTAGTAAAAAATTACCTTTGTTCACCATTGGCCTGGCCCTGTGAATGGCTTTCCATTGCATTTTTTGTCTCCTTCCCTTTAAGTTTTGCCTTGTAAGGCAATGTAGAGGTTGGCATTATGACTGCAATGTACATTCAAGCTCCCAACGACACAGTGATGCTGTTGTCTGAAAGATCTTGCATTGGAGTGCCTATTTGCTCACTCATCTGAGGATCCATGATATGAGCATTGAGACCTGGAGGTGTGTCAGGGATTCAAAAACACTCTGAAGGCTCAGCACCAACCTTGCCTAGAGGGCAGTGTTGCCAGTTGCATCAACCACAATGCATGTTCACACTCCTGGCAATGCCGTTATCTGAGGGATCTTGCATTGGGAGTGCCCATTCACTCACTCATCAGGAAAATCACTTCTTCCCTGAGGGTATCCAGGGTAGACCCTGGATACCCAGAGGCTGTCATGGAACTCAGGGCATCAGGTTGCCCCCAGGTACAGATTCCTTTTTTTGATTTCCCAGGAGCAACCTGAGGTTGTCCTGAGATGCGCTGAGGTTGTCCTGAAGTGTGCTGGGGCTGTCCTTAGAGAGCCCTGAAGCAGACCCTGGAGTTCACTCAACAGACAAACATAGTAGTATCAATAATTATTAAAGATGTATTTAAGACACATGGATAGAAGTAGATTAACAATTACTGTAAGTAACTAAGTAGAAACTACTTTGGATGGCAGATGTGTCAATAGTAGAATGCTGCTGAAAACCACTTGCTGAATGTGAAAGCAGAACTGCAGCCCAACTGCTTCAAACACATTGTCACGCCCCATGCCCACATTCTCCTACTCCCTCACTGTCCTGTACATTGTCCAAATCACGAGGTAGTGTTGTTTTGGCCACCCTACACAAAAATTAGTCATCCCTCTCCCATCAACATTGCTTTGTCACATGAAAGTCATTCCTTGCAGTCTAGCGGATTTGTTGTGAGTTCTGTGGAAAGCTACATGAGTGGCAACAATATCTATGAAGTTGTAAATGACTTACCATTATCCACACAGCTATTGTTGATGTGCTGCCCTTGGTTGACAGTCCCCCCAACCACCATACCACTTGAAACCCTCTCGCGTTGCTCAAGGCCATGGGTGATGTTGCAGTATTGATGGAACCGTGAACCTGAATGTTGGGGAAGTTCTGGGCATGAAAGTAGGTCAAGCCCTCATGAACAATGACCACACTGATTTACCAGCAAGTCAAGACCCTGCAGCATCATTGCAAGCAACATGCTGTCCTGCTGCCTGCCCATCGTCATGCTGTGTCCAATGGCAATGCCATGTTCTTGCCCTCACCGTCTTGTACACTGTCCAAACCATGAAGTAGTGTCATTTTGGATCCCTACTCATGAACATAGGCCATCCCTCTCCCATGAACATTGATTTGTTGGCGTAGAAGTTGGTTCTTATGGTCTAGGGGAATTTGGTGTGAGTTGTTTGGAAAGCTATGTGAGCGGGATGACTTACCCGATGTCCAAACAGCTGTTCTGATGTGCCGCCCATCCTTCACAAGCCAATCATCATCCTTCTTGAGATCCATGTCACCGCCCATGCTCGCCATCTCTCACTGAATCATTGTCACCACCCCCATTGGTCTGTCTGGCATGACGTCATTGAAATGGCATCAGTATTGATGTTGTTGACAATGTGTATGTGGGTGAAGCACTGACTTGTAGCTTGAAGATGCACATCACATTGTAGTTGGAGTAGGTAATGGTGGTGAGAGGACTACATGGCCGAAAACTTTGAATAGGAGTCATGAAGTTGTAGATAGAACATACAGTAATGACACCACACCCAAGCACATTCTAGATGGAATGAGAATGATGTTTGGACATCCATTTAGCGTGGACCTTGATGCAGCATGCAGAACATGTGGGTGTTGCTTGCGAATGGGGGACATGTGAATTTCCACGATTGAGTATAGTGTTTAAAAGTCTGGTTAGGTTAGGTTATTGGGTGCCCAGGGGCTCTAACCAAGACCGAGACCAGTTAGGGTTCGTTCCCAGACCCAAAATAACCTAACTGGACTGAAGATGACCGACCAAAACCAGTTAGTCGCAGTTACTAACCAGTTAGGACCGAAAAAATAGAAAATCGATTAAAACAGCATATATTTCTCATATTTCTTGCAGTAAACATTATTGTCATGTATTGTAGCTTTAAAATAAGCCCAAGAACACTAAATTCGGTGAAGAACTGACAATTTTATGATAATATTCTTGAAAGCATACTCTTTTGGCCAATATTTTTAGTGATTTGACCATAACTCTGTCAGATTTTTATCGTTTCTCATGCTTTTAGATGTGTTTTGAAGGGGTATAATAGGGTCGGTTTTAACCAGTTATAACCAGTTTTTTAACAGTTAGTTAACTGCAAAATAACCGGTTATTTCATTTCCAGAATTGACTAACCACTAACCACGGTCCGGTCTTTTTGCAGTTAGGTCTGGTCTGGCTCAGTTATTTTCCGGTTAATTAACCGGACCTTCAAGCACTAATTGAGTATGTCATTGGTGGGGTATATTGTAGGTTGAACAAGGGGCTAGGTGGTCCTGGAATTGAGGAGGGAACAGCATCTGTGGTAGGAATTGTTGCTGCAGACACTGTTGTGGTGAATGCTGGAGTACATGACGCTGGAGTTGGTGGTGACCATACCTTCATTTTCAAGACTCATATGGAGCTCCTTGTGACATGGCAGTGGACTGAGTCAACAGCAGTCAATGCAAGCAGTCTGTCAACTCTTGTTTGTGTTGTCATGGTTGTGGTGGTGGTTGTAGTGGTAGCAGTAACAAACTGAAATTGCCTAAGTTTGAAAATGTGAGTTGAGTGTGTCACATGACATCCCACGACTGTACCAACTTCCATCAATTCACTCTTACACTTTCTAAGGCAGCATGTAGCTATAACTTCACGAGTTTTCCACCTTTTGGCCTCTATGTAGGCTCGTTTTAATCGCTTCATTTATGTGAATGCAACCCACCTTACAGCGTAGAAAAATTTAAAGTACCTCACAAACTGTAGCATAAACTATTTGGCCTGTAGTAGAGATGTAACATATATCAAATCATTATGAGTTCTCCTCCGTTTCATGCGATTTTAGGCTTATTAGAAACGCAGAAATTAGAGCTTTAAAACGGGTCTGAGAGCTCCTAATATTTCGACGTTTAAGATGACCTCCGATAACATTTACCGTTTTTGAGCAGATTCTTCGCCAGTAATTGGTCCATAGCCATGCGAGTTCTTTACTAAATGCTACGTATATAAACGCATTATAAATAGCTTAAACGCCGCTTTCCAGCGCAAAAAAGAACACAAAAAACGAATATGTTTTGCAAAAGATACTTGATCTTCTTTGTTGTTGCAGTTTTTGTAGGTCAACCAATCTCTGGACTATGGTGTACTTTCTTCTCATTCCAGTCTTATTTTGATCATGATAGTTCATATACCATAAGGAATGTTCTTTTTATTGAAATCTAGTATACTAGTATTTTCAGGTTATTTCAGGACAGTTCAGGTTGCCAGATGTGCAATTGGAGGATGGCAGTGTGGACTTTCCTCAGCATTTCACAGAGCATGATTACAGAGGAATTGTTGAGTGCACTGTTGAGGCCACTGAGGGAAATTGAGGGTGTTCTCAGAAGTATCCATGACTGGTTCACCAGAAAGAGGGTGGACTCACTTCAATATTGATGTCCACTCAACAGGTACACCAGCCTTGCAATTGTGATTCAGACCCTGACTCCATCCCAATTGGTGACAGAACTGCAAGATATCATAAGATATCATAAGTATGTCAGAAAAACTGAGAAAACAAATATGGATGAATATGCACCAATTCAGGCTGTCAGTTCTGCAGGTCCTATGTCAGTTTCAAAAGTTTCATATAAGTATGTATGATCAGCTTTATTGGGTGAGTTAGCAATTAACAGAGTGATTCCTGCTGGTCAGATGCTATAAGCATTGTTGGTCTGAAGAAGCAAAATGTCTTGGTTTTGATAGGGATCATTGGGGCATTTCAAAGCCTGCTTTGCTTCAATCCATCATTCAGAATTTTGGATTTATCATATTATTCTTTTTTCAAACTTTTTACATCAAAGTAGTAGTATTACATGGCCTACTTATTACTGCAGCATGCACCAATAAATCATGGCAACGTGAAACTGAGAAATTTATGAAAGAGAGGTTAGAACAATTTCAAGCACAAAATACAAAAGACTCACACATGTAACCTTTCAAGATGTATTGGCAAAGATGGAGGAAAGGCAGTACAAAGAATCAGAACATCAACACTACACTCGCCATCACCCAATTTCAGTTGGACAGGTAAGTTTTGGCAGTGCCAAGTAGATGAATGTGTGCTGCAGTGTTATATTATTGAGTGATGAGTCCCTTCATGAAATAACAAAGCACTCACAGTTCATCCTGAGCAAGTTGACTGGTGCTGTGTTGAGAGTGAGCAAAAGTAGATTATCAGACTCGACAGAAGGTATGGGGAAAAAGTCTGGGGGAAGTGGTTGGTAACCAGACATCCAGGCCACACCCATTATATATGTAATGTTTGTGGAGCAGCTCCACTTGGCCAGAAGGTGATGCACTGCCTTAACTTGTGTTAATTTAGTGTGGAGCTCTTGAGTTCAAGGCAATTTCACACCTTATCTAATGCTTATAATGATGCACCCAGAGACCAATTAGTACCTAAAAGACTGTCAGCTGCTGCAAGTACTGATATGCTAATTAGGATTTTTCTGACATATTTTTGCCCGCCTGCAATGAGACGAGGTCTTATCAGTGCCCCCCTAATTCCTGCAGGAATCCGGTCATTCCGGCGGATTCCGGTGGATTCCGGAGGAATGAAATTTGGCAGGGAGGCCTGCTATTTTCACCATTCCGGTGCCTTACCATTCCGGCGGAATTTGGGCATTCCGGAATTGACACCGGAATGATCCGCGGAATGCACAGGAACGGAATGCAACGGAATCCGGTCCTTTGTTTGTTTGTTTTACTTCTGTTACCAAACAAAGGCAACGTTACCAAACAAATTCAAGACAATGCCTTTCCACCACCATCAACCATCCTCTTCCCCACCCCCACGACAGCCACGATAAACCGACAACGCCACGCCAACCCACGACGACGACGACTCCACAACGGCGACGACCACCCAGCAACGAACGGCAACGACCACCGCCAGCGACGTGGCAGCCAAACGGACGACGACAACAACACCACCACGATCCACGAGCACCTACCACGATCCACGAGCGCCCACCACGACGACCACGCAAATGCCGCAACGCCACGTCACAACGACGACAACGCGACGAACCCACCACCATCCACGAGCGCCCACAACGACCACGCACGCCGCAACGCCAACGACGACGACGACGTTGACGTCGTTCGTCACCCGCATCTCACGACCCACGTAACGACCACCCACTGCCCACGAAAACACCATAACACCCACGAAAACACCATAACACCCACGAAAACACCACGAACACCCACGAAAACACCACGAACACCCACGAAAACAGCACGGCGCCCACGAAAACACCACGGCGCCCACGAAAACACCACAGCGCCCACGAAAACCACAGGCCGCCCACGAAACGACGCCTAACGCCCACAACGCAACGCCCAGCGGACACGACGCCAACGAGGACGACAACACGCGAGGACGACGACACGACGCGATGACGCATCGACGATGCGCGCCAACGAGACCACTCCCTCCCCCTCCCCTGCTGCTCACAACTCCTTCCCTCTCCCTACTGCTCACCCACTACCCACCATCCCCTTCCCCCTCCCTTACTCCCCCTCCTTTCCTGCTCACCACTCCCTCCCTCTCCCTACCCCCTTCATTCCCAACCCCCTCCCTTCATTCCCTACCCCTTTCATTCCCTACCCCCTGTCTTCATTCCCTACCCCCTGCCTTCATTCCCTCATTCCCTACCTCACCTCTTCCTCACTGCCCTCCCTTCAGTTTTTCTCCCCCCTCTAGTTCTTCATTCCCCCCACTCGCCAGCACCCCTACCCCTCCACTCCTTCCCCCTCACTCCCTCCACTCCCTCCACTTTTCCCCTCTCCCTCCACTCCTCCCCCTCCCTCTATCTAGATTCAATGTAGATAAATTCCATCATGTATTTTTAATAAATGAGTTTAAATGAATCTTCCCTCTTTAAGTATAAATGTCCTAAGGAATCCTAAGATTAAGTTGTCAGCAGAAGGCCTGAGTTAGATTCAGTCACATAATATCTCCTTACTTTGTCCAAGGTCTGATCAGAACTAATACTGAAAACTGATCAGCTTAAAAAGTACTGAGAGAAGTATGCAGAAGTGTGTATTGGTGTAAATGTATGTTGTATCTGTGATTTTACTTCTATTCCAGTCCCATTCCTGTGGATTCCGGTCCCATTCCTGCGGATTCTGGTCCCATTCCTGCGGATTCTGGTCCCATTCCTGCGGATTCTGGTCCCATTCCTGCGGATTCCTGTGGATTCCTGTGGATTCCGGCGGATTCCTGCAGGAATGGGAGGGGCACTGTAAAGTACTGCAAAACTGATGAACAGAGCTTTTAAGGAGTTCAAGAGAGGCTCTTGCCTCAAAAAAAGCACAGTTATATTTATATAGTATTCCCTTATAATGATATAAAATTTCTAAGAGATGTGAGCAAAAATGGGGGAGCAAAACTGTTTTGTGTCATTGACCGGTTGATGACTGTATTGAAGAGCAGGTTGTTCTTAGCATCAAGCAGAAAAGCCTAGCTGGACCATAACTTACACTCTGTTCAAAACACCAAACCAGACCATTTTGAGCTCTGAGCATGAAATATCAGTCAAATTCTGACTTACAAACTGTTTGAAAAACAGAGACAGCTATTGTCAGTATCAACCAGAGAATGGTAGATGGACCATCATTTACACCCTGTTCAGAACCAGAGCAGGCTACTGTCAGTATTAGGGAAGATCAGCTTACCCCCACTTACATGCTATTTAAATCAAGACCATGCATAGTCAGCATCTAGCAGAGAAGTTGAGATGTATTCTGACTTACAGGCTGTTTGAAAACCAGAGCATCATTGGCATTAAGCAGGAGAGGCCAGTAGACCAGGACTTACATTCTGCTTGAATAAAATGTTGTCAATCAGCTGAGCAGCTGGATAATTTTTACTTACAGTATGTGGAAAGTAATTCAAGATTGATCTGACAAGTGTTGTTTCATTCTTTTCAGATGTTTCTGAGGTCCATACAGAACTGAACATGACTCTAACATAGGAAATGAGCCCTCTGCTTCTATATGAAATAATGTAAAATGATTACCTTTCAATTGCATGTTGCATTGACAAAGACAAGTGATTTTGTTGAACTGAAAGAAATAGCTGTAAAATAGTGTCACCTGAAAGGACAGCTGCTGTTTGCTTCAAAAGCAGGCTACAGTCACTTGTAGCATATTGCATATCTATCAAATCAAATGCAATAAGTTAGGGACATTACATCTGCAAAAATCAACTTGTTCACTTTGAAAATATATGTGTGCTTTGGGAGGATACTTCTTTGCATATAGCTGATGGCCAAAGTCTTTCTGAAACTTGATAACTGACTCCTCTACAGCTTTACCTGCAGCATCTTCAATGCTCATTCCAGTATTGATTAGTTACTCAATTGTTTGAGCATCAAGCAGATCTGCTTTTGTAAACAGGACAATGACAGGAACCAGTACTTATCACTCCCCCACCTATTCCTACTGGACTCCAGGACTCCAGTAAGATTCCTACTGGATTCCAACAATTCTTCCAAAAAAGGCATTTTCCACCTATTGGACTCCTACTGGACTCCAACTGAACTTAGACAAAAAAATCCAATGCTTCAGTTGGACTCCTACTGGACTCCTACTGGATTCCTACTTGATCCTACTGGATTCCAACAATTCTTCCAAAAAAGGCATTTTCCACCTATTGGACTCCTACTGGACTCCTACTGGACTCCAACTGAACTTAGACAAAAAAATCCAATGCTTCAGTTGGACTCCTACTGGACTCCTACTGGATTCCTACTTGAGTATCATGCATTCTATCAATTTTTGATTAAGTCAGTCAGACCTTTTAGCACCTCAAAATTCCATACCAACTTGCATAAAACATAGATATTATATTGATAACTATATACACAAATATATACAAAAAGTATTTAATAATTTAATGTGGTCAGGGAGGGGGAGGGAGGAAGTGGTGGGGAATGATGAAGGGGGGGAGGGAGGGGAGGCAGGGGAAGGGATGGAAGGGAGATGGGAGTGATGGAGGGAGGGGGAGGGGAGGGATGGAGGTGGGAGACAGTGGGCGGTCATTTCCGTGGACAGTCGTTTTCGTGGGTGGGCGGTCGTTTTCCTTTGTGGGCATTCGCGTTCGTACATGGGCGTTCATTTTCGTACATGGGCTGTTGGTTGGCTAAACGGTGTGAGCGGGCGGTGATGTGGCTGGTGGGATGATGCACATCGTACCTGGGTGCCCTTTTCTGGTGTGTTGATGGGCGCGGTGTTTGTCGACAGATGGCGAGGGCAGTGGTTGGATGGTGGTGGTTGTCGAAGCCTCGTTGATGGGTGGTGGTGACGTGGAAGGATCTAGGTTGAGGGTTTGGGCAAATTCCCACTTGCGGAATTTGCCGGCATCCTTTCTAGGAAGCTAGCCTTACGGTTGGTATGTAGAGCATAAAATATACCTGTATAATAATGCCTATGTGGTACAAGTGGTAAAGTGCTCACTCCGTAAAATGTTGGTGTGTCCATGAGGTTGAGTGTTCAATCCATGCATGTTGCGCTTTTTTTATTATTATATAATAACAATAATAGTGACAAACTACTGGACTTACTGGACTCCTTGTACTCGGAAATTCCTAGTGGACTCCTACTGGACTCCTTGTACTGGACTCCACTATACCCATTCCTTAGGAATCCTTAATTCCTTGTGATTTGGGATCATTCCAGTAGGAATCTACTAGGACTCCAGTAGGACTGAGATGCAAAATTTGTATGGTGTTCAGGCGATATGAAATTGGCTGGAGTCCTAGTAGAATCCAGTAGGAGTCCAGTAGGAATAGGTGGGGGAGTGTAAAGAGCTCACAGGAACTGCAAGAAATAATAAAAGGCAGAATTTTACAAGGATTATTATTACCACCACCACAGTGACCCACCTTTGCCAGTCCCACATTTATCAAAGAAATCCAGCTCTGCTCTAGTAATTGGCCATGCCTCATCATTTACTGGGATGCAGTACCTAAAAATAATGTATTTAAATCTTGTACCTGACAATCATTTTGTTACTCACCAGATTGCATGTAGTTGCTTCCCAATTTCCATTGTTTTTGAACGGTGCTCAATAAAGTTCTTGACAGTATCCAGCTCTGATGTTCTACCTGCTTCAAAGCCGCAAGAGTCATGGAAGATCAATCCTGGATTGCTCTCAAATATCAATTTGTTCTCGATGTTGTGATTTCCTTCCTACAGGTCATAAGCACTAGTGAATTCTGAGTTAGTTTGAATTACCTGTGCAGTTGAGTTCAGCTCAGACAAGTCAATCTATCCACAAGATGATCATTCAATGAGGTAAGTCATTTCAATGGCACACGCACCTCATGGCCTTGGGGATTGAAAATCTTTGGACATTCTGTTGTATTGCAAACTTGCTGAAGAATTGTTGTGTTTCCAGTGTTGGCACAGCCAATGATAAGGACACGGAAATGGCTGGTCCTCCATCGGATATTTTTGCATGCGTCTTTTGTCTTTCTGGGTCAACATGTTGTTTTGATTGAATTTTGCTATTGGACTGAATTTCTTCACGATTGTATGTTCGAGATGGAGTTGAAGGTGACAAGACTGGTGAAGATAAGGGCATAGCTTCTTTGAGGTTAATGCCTTGTAATACAGGTTGGGTTCCTTGAAACACATCTCTGAGTCAAATGGATGCTTGAGGTTGTGGTGAGAGTGAAGATAGTGAAAATGAACGTGTAGCTCTTTCGACATTGGCATCATATGTTGGTTGGGTTTTGCTCTTGGTAATGCGTAACTTCCGGAACATTTTGACGATTGAGATGGTGATGAAGGGTGGTGAAAGGAAAGGACGTCGACTTGAGTGGTTGTTGAACCTTGAGCACTGAGCTGATAGTGCCTGATTGTCTGTTGATTGTTTGGCTATTTTTTAAGGCAAGCTATGTCTTGACTCTCAACTCACCCCAATCATCTGATCCATGGGCATGGCACAGCCTTCCCAATGACCATGAGCCACAATGCTTTTTCAAAGTCAATCCCCCCAGGATCCTTTGGGGTGAAAGCTGGAGATTGGGTTATTGTGGTCACGGTTCCATTGGATGACACCATCAATGAATCGGCGAGAGACAGTGAGTAAATTGTTAGCCAGCTTTTTCTGCAACATGTCTGCTGACTCCCACTAGAGCCAAGATAAAAGGCATCCTGGATTTACTATTTGAGCTCTACTACAGCAGTGGCAAGAACCAAATCCCATGAATCTGCCTCGCATCAACTTTCCATTTACAACACTTACCTGATAATACATGTTGTGTCACCTTCCTCGTGGTACAGCGAATATTCGACCTACATACAAAAGGTCCAGCTGAACGAACAAGATTGTATCATGAGGAAATACTTTATAAAGATTGGTTTGAGAATGTCTTTTTCGGTTTGTGAGTAGTCCGCTTTCATCAGATGCAGTTGCTCACTCCAATGTAAACCTGGAGAACAAGGAACTCAACAGAACATATGGACAAGATGAGTCCCTCACTGGGATAACACCACCATGTGCTTCAAGGACTTCAGTGACCCAATGAATGACAGGGTCTCCTCACTTAGTCGTCCACATTTCCTGGAGCTGAACGCACTCAAACGGACAATGGTGCACAAGGTCAAATCTTACCTCACTGGGATACGCCCTCCAAGTTCATCAACCCAATCAATGACAGTCCCTTGTTCAACAGTCCACATTTCCCAGACAATCAGATGGGGGTGCATGAGGTCGACAACAGAACATATGGACAAGATGAGTCCCTCACTGGGATAACACCACCATGTGCTTCAAGTACTTCAGTGACCCAATGAACAAGAGGGTCTCCTCACTTAGTCGTCCACATTTCCTGGAGCTGAACACACTCAAATGGACAATGGTGCACAAGGTCAAATCTTACCTCACTGGGATATGCCCTCCGAGTTCATCAACCCAATCAATGACAGTCCCTTGTTCAACAGTCCATGTTTCCCGGACAATCAGATGGGGGTGCATGAGGTCGACTAGCTATGGCTTTACCACACCACATGTTTGCGTTCGAAGGAGATGGTTAGTGTGATGGGGTTGGGGACATAGGCTTGGGGGCAATGTTGCAGACACGCCCCAGGTGTGGAAGCCTTCCCTGGAAGAAATGCTTGTCTAGGAGGTCCACCTGTACATCTTCCTATCTTTGATATTTCACTCATGGTTCCGAAAGGATGGCTGTACAGATTATGACCAAGGGAGTTTACGACGAAGGTTCAGATGGTCAGGATGCATGCCATATCTCTATGGAACATCACAACTACAACTTTCATCGTCATCCCAAGCACTAGTGCATGCAACAGCCCATTCAAATTGAAGCATGCACCAGCCAAGGGTACAGACTTTCCTGTGGCTAGGCTTCGTCTTCCACGACACGTGCCAAGAAACCTGTTCTCAAGGTGATGTAGTACACTCCTGCACATCGAAGGCAAGCCCAGGTGCTGTGATCTGGCACTGTCCCCAGCATCACAGCAGCAGCCTTCTGACTCCAGGGGGCGGAGATGCCGCATATGAGGGGTCTTAATTTTGGGACACAATTGCAATGAGTACACAGTCAAGATTCAATCATAAGTCTTGCTTGTTTTTAGTGTTTGGAAGTCCGGTCCAGTCTTTTGGTGCCCAGTGCCTTAGACTGTAACCATAACCGGTCCTTCCAAATCAAGAAACCTCAAATAACTGGACCGAACTGCGAGAGACCGGTCTTTTGCGGTCTTTTGTGGTTACAAGACCGGTTTTGACCGGTTCTGGTCTTGACCAGTTTGCGACCGGTCTAGACCGGTTTTCATAGAGGTGAGGTGCCCATAAAACAATATTCTAAGTAGTTTAATGATTGGGGGGTTAGTGTATGCGACTTGAGTTAGACTACAAATTCCATATCCAACTCCTGATCTCAAACCAAAGAGGCATTGTCCTCATCGAGCATCTCTTCAAATTCAAGGAAAGGCTCAACCTCCTCCTGCTGGAAAGCCGTCCACACAGCCATATCATAGAGGTCAGGTCTCCAAGCAGACCCCATGATTACCAGCTGTTCAAAGACTGTTGAACCCAGGCACACATGGCAGTCTGTCGCAATTTGTTTGCTGCCCGAAAATAACTGCTCACAGTGAATGGACGAAGCTTGAGAGGGGAGGACGTCAAGCGTGATATGTGCAAGCGTAGGGTATAATGTTGCGTTGTTCTACAGAATGACATGAGTGACTAAAATGAGTCGAAAGAAATGCCTTACCTGCCACCATTCAACGAGATCAGTGTTCTTGGTGACTTCCTGTTGCATTGTACTCAAATAGCAGCATAGCTCTGCTACCCAGCCCTCTATTGTGTCGGCAGTGAGAAGTGTTTCGCGATGTTTGTTGAATTCTGATGTGTCGTCGTCGTTGGCATCCTGGGTCCCAGTACCTCTTTGAATGGGAGTAGCGCAGGGGCGAGTGTTATAGTATTGCGCCATCTAGTTTAGTACACATTGTCAGCATAAGAAATTTGTGTTAATAGAATGAGCGACATACAGTTTTCTTGACTATCTTTCTGGCCTCATCTTGCCAGTCCTTCGCATCAGGGTTTCCTGCCACAATTTCCGCTGCTTGTTTGTCAGGACCACCCCAAGCCATCTTGATGTAGGCGAGCTTGTAATAAGGGTGAAGCACTTCAAAAAGTTTATTAGTATGTGTCTTTCCATGAGGGGAATCAAAGTCTTACCAAGTGCCAGTACAAAACTGGGCTTTTCATCGAGATGGGAATAGTACTTACCCACCTTCTCTAGGCCATCATTGAGTGCATCCTTGTACAGGGCATATTTTTATTTAGGGCTATCTTGCTTCTTCTCCCATGCCGATTGAAGTTGCTCGAGTGCGGGAAGTGCACACCACAGGGTTGGCTCCTGCTCTGAGAAGAAGTATTGTTGAATGCATTTAGAATCCTAATTGAATTTCATTAGTATCACCTCTTTTAGCAAAATGAAAGGACTTTACCGCAAGTATATTGCATGCATCGACTACCCTCATCCAATCTGACTCAACCATCTTGAAGGAAGACCAGGGGATGTGTTTCACGAGACGATTATTGCGCCGCAACGTGGTAATCGGGCCATACATCTCATCCGCCGAGCTAACAAATAATCTGATTGGCTGTCAACGAGGTATCAGTGAGATGGACACAGTTTATTAGCTTGGTTGAGCATTTTGAATGCTGTCCCCCAACAGATATTGCTATGTAATGGTATCTTGAGGGCTTCAGGGACTCCGCAACATATCTGCATACTGTGGAAGTATTCAATACACTGCCCAGATGCTTGAATCTGCAGGTAGATATTATGAGACAGCGCATGAAGTTTCAGGGAAACAAGCATTTTTACCTTGATTGCAAGTGTCCAGATGGCAGCAATCACATCAAGGGAACCACCTAAGACACGATTATCAGGTCGGGTGGGATCATATTCCCAGATGGCTGTTGCATTTTTGACAGCTGCAATCTTCATGATGTGGCCCATAACGTCAATGTTGCCAAGGTTGACAACATGTCCCAAGCAACTATGTACAACGAAGTTCAATCAAGAAGAATAGAAATAAATGAACAAAATGTACAGTAGCTGTTGTTCATCACTGTTCCATTCGAGGCCTCGGCAGGTGTGAATATCTTGGATTGTTTTGCAGGTAGTGTTGTTATTTCCTGTGTTATCTAATGTCGCTGTATACAGCTGATCAGAATCAGTGACCCGAATATCAGCAGGGTCAATGACAGGCAACAGCAACAGGACAAACCTTTGTTCTGGTTTTGTCCATGATCCCAATGCGGTCGAGCAAACCCACAGAATATCTTCTGAGGTTCTCCCCACTATGTCCACCTGATAACGCCTTGAAGCCAATGACTGCCGATTTCAGCTTCCACTTCCCATCCATCACTGCAATCCAATGCGCAGTCATTCCCTGAAACCCTGCCTTTGTCGTATCGGCTGACCATCCATCTTGAGTTATCGACACCTTTCCAGGAGCTGCCTAAAGTAAGTCCTCAGCATTATCTGAAGCATCGAAAATTGAACTTCTTATGGTTATTTCTTTCTTTAGCTGCTTCATGTGCTTGGTAAACTCGTTGTGAAGGTGAATCTTGGCATCGTAGGAGCTGGGAAGGTCATGTGTTGTTGATTTCGGCCTCATCGCCACCAAGGCGTTCTGAAACGCAAGGTTATCAGCCAGAGCAAGTGACTATGGGTGCATGACAAGTCATTCATTTGAATGGAACATCAACAAACAACTTACTTGGTTATTAGTTGCAATCAACTTCGTGACTGCATGGAGGGCTGCCTCCCTTGTGAAATTGTGTGGTCCTGTAACAGTCTTGAAGTCTAGCAGCTGTTGGTGCTGCTTCTTTGTCAGTTGACCTCGGTGTTTAGCCTCCTTCTCCTCCTCCATGGTCTTCCAGATATCGCAAGGTATGGCCCAATGGCTCATTGGTATGTCTTCCTTTTCGCATTTTTGCTTGTAAAGATCAAAATGCTGATGGATGTGTGCATGACAGGAAGAATTCCCTCCCTTGTGGAAGGCCTTGCACTTCCCATGTGCTTTGACAAATGCCTCGTCACCCCTGGTCAGTAAGGAATGGTAGTGCGACGGCTTACTTGCAAACAGTACACCATCGTCCCATCAATGTATCATACTCATCCGCGCTTATCTTGAACTTCACAGTGACTTTGTCAGTCATTATGGTCAGGAGGTCGAGCATTGATTCTTTTTTTACAGGCTTTTCTTGTAGGTTGGCTCCACGTTGGTGGTCATTGAGACCATCATTCTAGGGTATGGTGAGTTAATGTAGCTTGTGGCAGGTGATAAGGGCTAACCTCTTGTTCATCAGCTGACTGCTCATCGTCAACACCATCATCCACTTCCTCAACATCCTTACCCTGCCGTTCACTGTCGTCGGCCACCTCCACCTCATCTGAATCTGGAAGGTCGAGATGCTGCCGCTTGCCAGCCTTCTTCTTGGCTCTGCATGCTGACTCGGAGTCATCACCTGAGGAAAGTTCTTCATTCTCAGAGTCGTCGGAGTCTTTTATTGCCTGTTTGCAGCTGCCCTATGTCATCGCCATTTTTGTGTTGCTCTTCTTTGCGCGTGGCTTCCCCGTTGGCTTGGGATCATGGAGCCTTGGCGGTATTCCTTTTGCGATTGTTCGAGTAGTAATAGCCATCGTAGAGTCGAGACAGCAGTGTATTTAAAATTTCAAGTCATATGTGACAGCAGTGGATATTTGGCAATGCATTTTCTAAGGTTCTCGTCAAAAACATGGTAATTATATCCTAAGTTCTAAGCTTGGCCCCACCAGAGTTTGAAGGCTCGAAAAACTGGTCTTTAACTGGTTAATCCGGTCTTTGCTCAGTCTTGAATTTTTGGAAACCATAGAGGACCGTAGACCGAACTGCGGTTACAGTCTTTGTCAGTCCTCATAATTTGCAGTCTTGATCGGTCACAGTCCGGTCTGGTCACGGTCTTTTTCCAGTCCTGTGACCAGACTTCCAAACACTACTTGTTTTCCCATTGTTCTTGGTATTCCACTTATGGTTTGAAAAGACAGCTGTGTGGATTACTCACCCACTTTCAAAACTTGAGCTGAGTGGGGTTATTTAGTGGGTTCAATTCCCTAAGAACCACATACAGGAACATTTATTTATTTTTACATTCAAATTATTCAAGTCATTTCATCGATAATTTTGCTGTAGATAGTTGTGATGTGTATAGCGGGCACTGGTGTAGATCGGAACAACTCACTGTGACTTTCATTTGAGCTGAGTGGGGCCTGTATCCAGTTCCCCAAGGACTGCATCACATTTCGTATGTCATGATCTATGCACTTTTTTTTTTTCATTGGTATCTTTGCACCATAAGTACTGATTCACTAGGCATTCACCTGTGTTCGGATGGGTGTATTTAAGATTTATGTCGACTAAATGAACATCCCTGACTCAGTCTTTTTTTCTAAAAAAAAAGATGCATATAGTTGGAATGTGTATAGTGGACACTGGTGTACATTGGAACAACCCACTGTGACTTCAATTTGAGCTAAGTGGGGCCTGTTATCCAGTGGGGTTCAATTCCCCAAGAACCGCATTATGTTCAAATTGTACACTTTTACCCACATCCTTTTTTTTATTTTTTTTATTGGTATTTTGGCTGTGGTGGCATGGCCTCGACAAGGGGTATATGCTAGGCACCCGAATGCCAGTGTGGATCGTTTGTAAAAAAAGAAAAGCATCTAGTTTTATGTAAAATGAATATGTCGTGCATATGTACCTGCAAAGAGTTCAGAGGTTCAGAGAATATGAGGGGTTCAAAGAAAAAAAGGGTTGCAAGTAAAAAATGGGGATGGAATGGAGCATGAAAGTCAGATATGTAAGACAGGTATCATGTTAGTGGACAGGACGTGTTTGGATGTTTCCCAGAGTTTTAGTTTGAATTTGGCATGTAGGGAGGAGTGGGTTTTTGGAGTTTGAGCAGATGATGGGTTTGCGGGGGGTGGTGTGGTGAAAGTGATTGATGGAGATCTGTCTGAAGGGGGGGAGAAGGAAAGGGCAAAGGGGTGTTATGGGTGGCTGGAGGGAGAGATGGAGGTGGTTGGGTGAGGTTGGGTGCTGCTATTGGGGTTGTGTAGCATAGTCTGGGGGAGTTGTTGTCGCGGAAGTGATTGGGGAGGACAGGGCTGTTGTTGCTGCTGGGGAGGCTGCGGCTGTGGATTTTAATGCTGCTGTGGCTGAGGCTGCTGCTACTACCCCTACTGTCGAGTAGGAGATGGCTGACGACGCGTAAGGAGCGGAGGCTGCATGGCAGCTGCCAGGGTGGCGTGCTTAGATGGAGAAGTTCCAGCAGCAGCAGCTACCCTCATCCAAAGTCATCTGCCATGTTTAGCAGGCCCAAGCCTAGGTTGCTGACACCTGAGGTTCAATTAGCCTGAGACTCAGACTGGAAGGAAGGAGAGAGGGAATTGGCGGCTTCTGACATCAGATTGAAAACCCATCTCCGAGTCCAACGGATGCTTGAGATTGTGGTGAGAGGAAAGCCAGAGGAAAGGAAATGAAAATGAACGCATCACTCTTTCGAGATTGTTGTGAGGCGTAACTTCTGGAACATCTTGACAATTGAGATGGTTGCAAATGCAAAGGACTGTCGAATTGTTTGGCTAAAGTCGATTGTTTGTCTAATTCCAAGTGGGGACGTCTCAACCTCTCTACTAAGTGTTTGATTCAACCACACTAACCTCTAATTCACTCCAAACGTCAGTGTTCATCAAACCAGACGGTGGTGGTTTTCCAGTGAAAGAGGGCTCGATCTCTAGTGGTCCTACTCCCATCGTCGTTCCGCCTGAGCATGCTGCATGGACGTTGGTTTTGTGTTTCGATGGGACAGATGACCAGTGTGTTCTGTTCTTCCTCTTCTCTTTTGTTATTGTTGTGAATGATGATGTATGCTCTAGGCTCGATGCGGATGTATGCACCTCCAACCTTCCAGGAACACCTTGATAACTGAAGCCTTGTCCATGTAGAACTCGAGTGTCATTGAATTCTTCAGCATGCTCACAAAAGACAACCCAGACAGACAGATGGTGTACTACCAGGTTCATCCACTCTTTTCCCCATTAATTGCTGAGTCCCTTCTTACCACACCTGTGTTTAGGCTGGTATAGGCACATATACGCCCCTGCAAATTGCTACACCCCTGTTCGCAAAGTTCTCCAAGGTCAGCTTGCCTTGTCAAGTACCGGATACCCATTCTCACTTTGACCCTACTAGACTCTGGATGAAGCTATCGCGTGGAACCTTGACGCTCACATCATGGGTAAGAACCCTCATATATGTGTGTTGTTCACTCAGTTTACATATTTATTCCAGGCGGATACGAGTTCTTGATGCAAAACTGTGTGTTTGTCCCATTCTCTCTACTTCCCGTACTGGCTTCTCCCATTCAGATAAAGCAGGTGACAGGATCTGCATCTTCGGTAGGTCCCTTACCAAACCACCTTCTCCTCCCTCACGTTCACCTTCCTTCCCTCCCTTCAGGCTTTTCCCGCAGCGCATATACTGCACGTTGGTTAGTCTGTCTCTCCTCTCCTTCCATCAATAACTAACCCACTTCATACTTAGCCTCGCCAGAATGATCCACAAAATTGGGCTCCTACCAGTATGCAACCACCAGCAAGTCCCATTCGCATACAAAATGTACACGCACCCTGACAAGTTGGGTTGGAACCAATCAAATGCCTTCAAGAGGGCTTTTTCGATCGACGTTGGTATTGAGTTTGTTGGGGTTTGGTATGTCCTTCTTCCTTCCTTCCTACTTCCTTCACCACCCTCCTCCTCAACCCCATTCTCACTCTAAATTTATAGGGACACAGTCAACTCAGTAGGCCTAATCCTGCGCTGCCTCCCATCCACAACCTCAAACACCATCATCTGCACATTCTAACACGCTGTCTCTCTAGACGAGTGCTGCGCAAAGTTTAAAGCAAATCTGTGGAACAGGCCTAATGACAATGAAAAGACGATTAGTGTGACTGATCAGCATGTTGAGCTGATTAAACAAAAGGCTGGGCTGCATCCTAGTGAATCTAGGTTGCATGCACTTGAGAGGCAGTATGGTGTTGAGAGGTTGAAGGTGATGAATATTGATGAGGTGAGTTTGGTGGTTTACTTTTTTGTGTAAGAGAGAGGAGTGCTTACGCAGATGGTGTTGTGTCTGCCATTGGTTTGGTTTGCTGGATATCATTGTGGTATGTGTCCTTTTCTTATCTGTTGCTTCTGATGCTCATTTCTAACGATGATGATATGCCCTTCCTGGCAGATGTGGGTGGCGGTTCTGGTACATAACCCAACCCACCTCACAGTTCTTGTCAACTCATTCACCACCATCATCAGTCGCAAACGGTGCCAAACCTGTCCTAGCACGCATCCCCCTCTGGTGGATGATCCGCAAAACCTTCAAACGCAAAACAGGAATAATGTTCCACACCGACAGACTCAAACTCATCGGGCTCTCCCCCTTCTCACTCTACCCCCTCGTTTACCACACCCACCAGCCCTACCTGTCCCTGCGACACTCTCCCTCCTCCCCATCCCCAAAACCCCTGGAGGAACCCATATACGACGCCGCTAAATCCTTCCCCACCGAGTCGGAGGAAGAGCTCGACCTGCACAATGCCCTGGCGCCTATATACGACCAGCTTTCGTTGAGTTGGTGGTGGTGGATATTGGAGGTTATTCCGTTGATGCAGAGGAGGCAGCGGAGCGATGATGTTTGGGTTACATGGTTTGCATGGAATTGGGGATGGGGGAGGGTTATTCCGGGGCAGGGAAAGAAGGGGGTTAGGTTTCATAGGAGTGTTAAGGCTAGGATGGACGCACAGGGGGGGTATAGCCCGAAGGTGAATTTGGATTTGGGGAGGGTTACTTGGGTTGATTGATGTGTGGGAGAGTGCCAAATTGAATTGGGTGGGGATGTCTCTATCTTGACCAGTGTGGATGCATTGATGTGGGTGTATGAGAGTGGCTTGTTGGGTTGGGGAGTGTATGTTTTACCTTTCCTAGTGTGGACGTGTAAGAGTACGCCTTCTCTTGTCACATACGCCATATGTAATGTATGGCTTGTTTTGAATCCATTCTTGTAGCTTCGAAGTTGCACACCCTTTTTCCGAATTTGAATATATGAGAGCACCTTTTTTGGATGGGATTGTATGTTTTACCTTGACCAGCGTGGACCTGTAAGAGTACATTAATGAATGGATAACCATTTCGGCTGATAGTTTTGACCTCCTGGTTACTTTCTTACCTTCATTTTCATAAATTTTCAAGCTTCAGGTCAACTTTTCGCGGTCGTTGACCTCCTTGAATAAAGCAAGATTTCTCCTCATTTCTCTTGTTGACATACCATCATGTTGTACACACACAGTAAGTACAGCCTCTCAAGATAGGCTTCAAAGCATCCTTGAGTAGTGTTTAAAAGTCCGGTTAGGTTAGGTTATTGGGTGCCCAGGGGCTCTAACTGAGACCGAGACCGATTAGGGTTCGTTCCCAGACCCAAAATAACCTAACTGGACCAAAGATAACCAACCAAAACCAATTAGTCACAGTTACTAACCAGTTGGGACCGAAAAAATAGAAAATCGGTTAAAACAGCATATATTTCTCATATTTCCTGCAGTAAACATTATTGCCATGTATTGTAGCTTTAAGATAAGCCCAAGAACGCTAAATTCGGTGAAGAATTGACAATTTTATGATAATATTATTGAAAGCATACTCTTTTGGCCAATGTTTTTAGCAATTTGACCATAACTCTGTCAGATTTTTATCGTTTCTCATGCTTTTAGATGTGTTTTGAAGGGGTATAATAGGGTCGGTTTTAACCGGTCATAACCGGTTTTTTAACAGTTAGTTAACTGCAAAATAACCGGTTATTTCATTTCCAGAATTGACTAACCACTAACTGTGGTCCGGTCTTTTTGCGGTTAGGTCCAGTCTGGTCTCGGTTATTTTCCGGTTAATTAACTGGACCTTCAAGCACTATCCTCGAGGCCCCTTCTTTCTCTTCGACAACATCAATCACCTCAAGAGTGGGCTGGACCCCTCTCAATAATGTTCACTTTACACATTTGCCTCGTTCTCATGCTCTGGGCAGCATTTGTGGTCAGGTTACACTCCGCAGTCGATCTGCAGATATCATTGAAGGGTAAGTGGGGCCCGCTTTTTATCTCCCACAATGTTGCTCATCCTATGTTATTAGACGTGGATGTGCGACGGTAGTAACAATGAAGGAGCGAGCGATCATGGAGCAGGCATTGGACAGTGCGAGATTGTTCCAAGATTGTTCAAATGCGCTGTCAAGGATCCGAAAGCCACCGCAAAAGTCAAGCCTGTCAAATTTGATGTATACTTCCATATCATCGCAGCGAATGAAACATATGAGGGAGGTTGGATTGCGTGGGTTGATATAGTCTTTTCAAGATAGCTCAGTACTGATCGTAGATGCAGAAACTATCAGATCAAGGCCCAGGTGGAGAGGTTCAACGTTGAATACCGACTTCAATACCACAGGAATCTCGTTCAATTACAGGAACACTTCCTGTATCTTGAACACAGATTGGTTTGAGAATGTTTACCCCGGCTTGTGAGTGGTCTTCCCTTATGACCTACCTCCTGAAACTGCTCACACTGGTGTAGATAGTGTTTACAGGTCCGGTCCATAAGACCGAAAAAAACCGGTGGACCGAACTGAACCAGACCATGGTCCGGTCTTTTTTTCGGTTGCAGTTGCCCAAATTTGGGGTTGGTCTGGTTGCCGGTTGCCTCATTTCAAAAATCTTTTAAAACCATTCAAAGACCGGTTTAAATCGGTTGCAACCGGTGATACGGAGTGTAACAATACACCCATAAAAATGCGAATTTTAGCGATTTCTCCTATAAAACCTCCTATAGTAGAAATACAGTCACATTGATCATAATGATCGTTAGACGCAACCCGGTCTAGTCAATTAAAGTCTACATCCGAGAAATGTGCACGCTTTAGACAGTAGGAATTGCGGTCGGTTCGTGACCGAATCACCTCAATATACTCAAAGTCTAATAAAAGGCTACACTACCATGAAATAGTACGCTACCAAGTGTTCTAGAGTAAAAACACCCCCGCACAGGGTGTTGGAGTTTACACCAAACCAGGGTCTCACTTTATTATGGATTAAAAGATATTAATTCTAAAGATAAATGCACGAGCGTAGAAACTCAACGCTACCTGATGCAAGAAGTCATTCGGTCATGTGCTACGAAGCATGATCCAAGAAGTCATGTGGAGAGACGCATCACAAATCATGGCATCATTGACCCAAGAAAACTAAGCTTCATGAAGTATTCCGAAGCCTGCCAAAAGAGAAAAACTATGAACGATTTGCCGTGCGGTCCGAGGCCTGGGCATAGTATCTAATAATAGAGAGAAAAATCACTAAGCAGACCATTCTGGTACGTCGAACAAAGGGAGGTTCATATATAGTTTGTGAACTAGACGGATCAGTCAATCACAATAAAATTGGAGCATTCAGAGTCATTCCGTATTTCGCAAGAGAAAGGATCGACTTACCTGAGCACTTCAGTACACTTATTGATGCAAGCAATGAGGAACTGGATGAAATTGAAAACACAGGCGTTGAAGAAAGACCTAACGCAAGAGATTACTACTTTGAAGGAGTTAATCTTGATGGGTCTTCCGCAGATGAATCCGGGGACTTAGAAGAAATCGAAGATTTAAGTGAAGAAGAGGCTTAGTAGACTTATGCTTTAAAATTGGCTAAAGTTTAATAAAACCTCCAGCAGTTTATAAACATAATGCACAAGCGCCTTCTAGATTTTCCATGCGTAGTCAACTATACATGCGGGCTCTAGGTGTCCGTCTACGAAAAAAAAGTTCGGATAGTTCTACTACTCCTTAGTTACTTCACGCTCAGCAATCTGGGCAAGGGCAATTTCGTAATCAGCGACAAGTACATCACGAAGACAAAGCTCCAAGTCGAGGCGCTGCATGCTGAGAAGAACGCGTTCATGAAGATCGACCTCTTGCTGCTTGAAATAAGCAAGGGTGGGATAAGCCGGCATGCGGTTGGTAACAGCAGCATGTGCGCGCGCTAAGATCTCCCTGTACAGAGGGTTGTCGATGAGCAAGGAGTTGGCAGACTCGTCTATAACAAAGGACGAGTGCGTTAGTTTACGATTTATGAAGATAAAAGATAAATACGAACTTTGACGAGACTGAAGATCTGCTAAACCACTAATAAAGGGTGGTTCAGTACGAGGGCATTTGTCGCCGGCGCAACTGCCTTTGGCATGCTCAACGACGAGGGCCTTGTGAAATTCGCGACTGTTAGTGTCCATGCCTGGAACAGTGTTGTAGGGAATGCTGACCGTTTCGGCACGCTTGGATTTGGCTGGGGTCTGTTATGTCCAAATAAAATATGAAGTTAACAACGTGGCAGTGGACTCACGCAATAATAGCAGCTTACCTTGGGACCAGAGGCAGCGCGCTTCTTGCCTTTCTCTTTGGGAGAGGAAGCGGCATCCTTGACTTCTTCGTCACCAAAGAGGTTGTCCACTGCCATCTGAGCAAAGCGGTACGCAATATTAAAATTGTGTTCTGCTCAAAAGAAAATAAAAAATAACGCACGGTGTCAGCTGCAGTGATAGCGTTGGGGCCATCACACCCACCCATCATAATGTCGGTATCCGAGGGGCCGGGGACAATCTCGACCTCGTCGTCCTTGTCCTCGACGACAGCCTTGGACTTGACAAGCTTGCGGGGACGCTGTTTCAAAATGTATCCGTGCTGCGTTAATAAAATGAGAAAAGATGAACAAAATAAGTATAAACATGCCTTGGCTTTAGCGGCGGCCATTACCTCTGCAATCTCAGCCTGAGCCTGAGCTTGAGCAGTAACAGGTGGTGGAACGACCTGCGCAGTGGCACGCGCGGCGAGAACGGCGCGACAATATTCTTTGATAGTGTCGAGGTCGGCTGGGGGCGCGATGGCGTGAACTCCAGTGCTGCGGGTATTGTACTCGCCTCTAACAAGGAAAAGCACGTTGTGCATTGGCTGGTGCATAAGCAGACACGGATCCTTGGTGTCGATAAGCTGAACCTAGTCAAGTGCGCAGTATTAGCCTTTGTTCGAAGAAATAGAGAATATGAAGTTTATAACAGAAAAATTCGCGACTTACACAGTAATTAGCGGCTACGCCAAGAATGGTGAGAGCGGCAGCGCTGTTCAGTCCCTCTTTCATGTCCTGATAAGTTTTGAAGGCAGTGAGAGCAGACTCGCGAAGCTTGACAGCGGCGGGAAGAGCATTTTGTGGGATAGACATAATGAGCGAGTGGTAAAATGAGAGTGCGTGGTAGAAAAGCGAAAAACTGTTCTGTCCGAAAATTTTTCGCCACTGCCTGCTTTTATATGTGTGTCTGAGACCAAGGCGTGCACGTTCCGAAATTCCGCGTTGCAATTCACTTGAAGCGTGAAAATTTGGAGTTGCACGTTCCAGCGCGATCACGTCTAAAAATAGAATAAACTTTCCGAGCCTTGGATTTCCCACGCCACGTGACCTATGAACTTAGTCATTTTGACTGAGGACAGTCAATATTTAGTGAGGGGGAGGGATCAAGGCTACCTTGATAGATAAAAAATTCGATTTCATGATTCACTAAAACCACCAAGGGGAAAAGAGTCATGAAAACGCGAACTAGAGACAATAAAACCCTAAGGCAGAATGAATTTGATAGAAAAATGCGAAATAAAGTCGAAAATTCACAAGTTCACACTCTAGAAAGCATGCAAAAAGGCTCTCACTTAGGAACAAATCTCAAAGTTCAAGAAAGACAAAGTCAAGATTCTACTATAAGGACAGCAGAATCTAACTACAAAAGATAATGACACAAAAAGGTTGATATAGAAAGTCCAAAAAACTAAGATGTCCGAATGCATGCCAAGTAAAAAAGTCCATAAAAACAAGCACACCTACTCCTCGTCAACAAGCTCATCGATAACCTCCTCCTCCTCCTCCTGAGAATGGGTGGAAGGTGGAAGACCAGGCAAAGCAACGGCGATAGAAGGAATAAGGGACAGCGAGCGGATGCGGCGTTGACAAGGTGTCAGAGATGAAGGCCCAGCAATGGGAGGAGAATCATCTTGCTGAAAAAGCGAGACGAGTCTCTCCAAATCGGCCATCATTGAACCCGCAGGCACTGGGACCCCCTGAGTATCTACAAAGTCTTGAACGAAGCTGTACCACGAGCCGAACTCCTCGCGAGTCTCGAAAACAGTGCCTAGAAGAGTTCCAGGCTCGGCGGTGAGACACAGGTCTGCGATGGCGTTTGCGAACTCTCGAAGATTGGCATCGCGATGATGGCAAATGGCCTCAAGGACCGCGGATAGGGTGCGCATATGAAGCGCGTCTTCTTCGATGGACTCCATCAGCGCAGATATAGCTAGAAAAATAAGTGAAAAGTCATTAAAAAGACTATAAAATAAATAGAAAAAGAAAAAAAATCATACCTGAAGGCGCATGAATAGCCAACCGGTTATGGATGACATCCCTGACAGCCCCTCGGTGTTCATCATTCAGATAGTACTCACACGAAGAAACATGCGCCACGTTGCAAGGACAGCAGGGAGTGCCCCACCCACGAAAGGTGCAGTTCTTGACAGCGGAATCCTTGCGCGCGGAGCACTGAAGGCAAGGTTCGGGCATCTAATAAAACAGGTATCAGTACCTATGAAAACTCAGACAAAAATGAGAGGAGGAGACATACGTGGATTTGTGTACCCTTAAGAACTGCGGGGAGCTCTTTAAGCCCAAATCTAGCAGTGGCACGTTCTAAAAGAAAATCAGCAGAGAATAAAAGAAAAGAACAGAGACTCACCATATAACTATGCAGGCGGTATAGCATAGCCATAATCTCGGCCTCAGACATAGTGTTGAGGCGGGAACACAAGAAGAGGTCAATGCCGACTTCGAACGCTTGGACGGCGGCGCAACAACCAAGGAATGCGGTAGGCATGGTGGGGAAAGTTAGAAAGAAATTGTGACAATCGCTCCCATAAAGCACGAAGTTTATAGGAACGTCAGGCGGAACATACGGAATAGCGAGGCACTTTCCAAAGAATAGTCTATGGGAGAAGATCGCTGAGAATCCCTCGGTTCCGTCGACCCTGAAAATCTTAATGGACGCCAAAAACGTTAATCAACTGAGGCGTACCTAGGCAACAATAGGAATATGATGTCATGTCTTCGAAGAATAACGCGCCTGCACTAGTAATAGTAATTGACGCCGAAAGATAAAAGACACGCTTGACAGACGGTGATCTTTTGAAGACATATCAATATAAAATCCAGAAAAACACGAGGGGAACATCCTCATACGGGGATCTAGTGATGACCGAGGACGGTCAGTATTATAGTGAGGGGGAGATGATACGGAGTGTAACAATACACCCATAAAAATGCGAATTTTAGCGATTTCTCCTATAAAACCTCCTATAGTAGAAATACAGTCACATTGATCATAAGGATCGTTAGACGCAACCCGGTCTAGTCAATTAAAGTCTACATCCGAGAAATGTGCACACCTTAGACAGTAGGAATTGTGGTCGGTTCGTGACCGAATCACCTCAATATACTCAAAGTCTAATAAAAGGCTACACTACCATGAAATAGTACGCTACCAAGTGTTCTAGAGTAAAAACACCCCCGCACAGGGTGTTGGAGTTTACACCAAACCAGGGTCTCACTTTATTATGGATTAAAAGATATTAATTCTAAAGATAAATGCACGAGCGTAGAAACTCAACGCTACCTGATGCAAGAAGTCATTCGGTCATGTGCTACGAAGCATGATCCAAGAAGTCATGTGGAGAGACGCATCACAAATCATGGCATCATTGACCCAAGAAAACTAAGCTTCATGAAGTATTCCGAAGCCTGCCAAAAGAGAAAAACTATGAACGATTTGCCGTGCGGTCCGAGGCCTGGGCATAGTATCTAATAATAGAGAGAAAAATCACTAAGCAGACCATTCTGGTACGTCGAACAAAGGGAGGTTCATATATAGTTTGTGAACTAGACGGATCAGTCAATCACAATAAAATTGGAGCATTCAGAGTCATTCCGTATTTCGCAAGAGAAAGGATCGACTTACCTGA